GCGACTATCAGGTCCAGATTTGGTGCAGCATCGCCCTCCTCTCGATACACGATCCGGGAAAACTTGGCTTCAGTGATGAAACACGTCTTCTTGACCGGCACCTGAGTGTCCCGAGTAAAGTCTATTTTGCAATGAGCAAGGATATGCATAATGGGGATGGCAAAACGGAGATGGGAAAAACGAGTGCCATCGCTAAGTGCAACGATAAAGAAGTGAACCCAATCAAATTTGACATCGTTCAACAAGACGTGAAACAAACGAATATCGTCCTTGTTGACAACGCCATGGTTCGAATCACGGGGCAACAAAACATATGAGAAGATGTATTGTTGGACGCGTTGAATTAAAGTGAGATTAATGACACTTGGGTTGCTAGAGTTTCTAAACTTGAGGTCACGATGATCTAACCCGAGTTGTTGCCAAATTGCCTCATCTTGGAATGTTTCATCCAAGTTTTCGGTAATTTCACCGCGACGAAGGCCAAACAAAGAAGTCAGACCGGCACCGTCAATGAAAACGGTTTTGCCGTCAACATAGGAAATGAGAGATGGCGAACCTCCCTTAGTGGTACGAAGATTTGCATAAAATTGACGTATAATATTTGGACAGAAAAATTCATATGTCAAATGAATGAAACGAACCAAACTTTGCTGAAGAAACATAGACTTACTCGGAGCATAGGTCGCCGATTTGAAGAGGTCCTTGTTCACGATCTTGGGAGAGACGATCTCCTTCGTGAGGAAGATGTCGTGGAACCTCTCGACTGAAGCTTCAGTGTTGAAGGCGAGACCCGTTTGAATGTGAATATACTTGCTCCCTTCACGACGTCATGACCTCTCATTCTCCTCTACTGCGGTTTCTTGACCCGAGGAAGCGTTCTTGCACCTTGGCATCCTTCCTCTTTGAAATTGATGAAATTAGGTGAGAAGATTGGTGAGAAGATGGAAGAAAATTGAGAGGGATTGAAGAGGAGAAGGTGTTAGGGTTTCTGATTTCTTAACAGAGAATGGCGAAGAAGACGAAGCCTGGGCTGGATATAGGGCGAAAATCGAATATTAATCGATTAAAATAAAGTATTTAATCGATTAAGGAACACAGCCGAGGCAAAATCGATTAAATGAAGCATATTAATCGATTAGAAGAAGCAGAACCAAAATGTCTCTTTTCAAGCTATTAATCGATTAAACAGAGATGGTTAATCGATTAAGATGGACAGTTGAGTCTAATCGATTAATTAAAAAAATTAATCGATTTCGGTGAATCAGCGCTAAAACGTTTTCGGATATTAATCGATTATAAAGAAACGAGTAATCGATTAAGAGGGACAGAGGCGACTAGTCGATTTCTCTTCGAGGAGTAATCAATTACAGCTTGGTTTGATAGAAGAAAAAGCATCAAGTCCAATTCGGTTGAATACCAAGGGAAGAGATACCTACAATAAAAGCCCTGCAAAAAGAATTTATCGCGCCTCCGACGCTCAAATTAGTATAGTCAATAAAAAGAATGGATTAGTTCATAGAGATATCCAAAATTCCAAGTTCGTTCCGAATGTGGAAGAAACTCTCCCTACTAAGGGGTTTCGTGATCTCCCTTTTGGACGTGATCTCGTATGAAGTGATGCCTAATTTCTATGTGCTTAGTCCTTGAGTGAAGAACAGGGTTCTTCGTTAGACTGATAGCGCTCATATTGTCACACCTAATAGGGATGTGATCAAGTATGAGGCCGAAATCCACTAGTTGTTGTTTTAACCAAAGAATTTGGGCACAACAACTTCCCGCAGCGACATATTCCGCTTCGGTGGTGGAAAGTGCAACACTAACCTGTTTCTTACTAAACCACGAGATTAGCGAATGACCGAATAAGTGGCAAGTACCGCTGGTACTTTTCCTATCGAGTTTGCAACCTGCAAAATCCGAGTCGGAGTAGCCAACAAGATGACATGTTGAGCCTTTGGGATACCAAAGACCTACATTCAACGTGCCTGCGAGATATCGCATTATCCTTTTGATCGCAATCAAGTGCGACTCTTTAGGACATGATTGATACCTAGCGCATATACAAACGGAGTACATGATATCCGGTCTACTCGCGGTGAGATAAAGTAAAGAGCCGATCATACCTCGGTAGCGTTTGATGTCTACCTCTTTACCTTTTTCATCCTTGTCGAGATAGCAAGAGGTGCTCATCGGTGTGTCAATGGATTTGGATTCGGTAACATCGAATCTCTTAAGCAATTCCCTGCAATATTTTGTTTGACACACGAATGTCCCTTCTTTGCATTGTCTAATTTGTAGCCCAAGGAAGAACTTTAATTCTCCCATCATCGACATCTCAAATTCACTTTGCATCATATCGGAAAAATCCCTGCACAAAACCTCGTTAGTAGCACCGAATATGATATCATCTACGTAAACTTGAACCAAAAGGATGTCTTGGTTATCTTTCTTGATGAAAAGTGTAGTGTCGACTTGACCCCGTTTGAACTCATG